CCTTTTTTTTTTTTTTTGGAGAGGTTTTTGCTATAGGGGGCATGCGCTCGCTAGACAGACAGAGAGAGACAGAGAGATAGAAAGCGAGAAATCACTCCCCAGGAGGGATGGCCACGCCGCAATCCCTTCTCCTCCATTCTCCTCTCGGGATCCTGGGCACACATATACACGTGCACGGCATGAGTTTAAGCCACCAGGTCCAGGACTTGAACCGTGGTCGACTACACGCTGCAATCCCTTCTCCTCCATTCTCCTCTTGGGATCCTGGGCACACATGCACACGTGCCCAGCATGAGTTTAAGCCACCAGGTCCAGGACTTGAACTGCGGTCAACTACGTGGGAGTCCAACGACATAGCCATTACGCTAACTGCTAGTCCCAGCAACTAAACTTTTTCACACATCACTGTATATTCTCCACAAATGTACATGTATGCATGTGTGTGTGTGCACACACATGCGCACACACACAAAGATAATGTCATGAATACTTGTAAATGACCTAATTCATGAATAGAATCTAAATTCACTATTAATGAATTTTGAGTATGTCTTTATTAAAAATGGAATTGTAGGCTTCCTCTGAGAGCATGGAAGCCTAGTCTTCTATATCCCCCTTGCACATAATGAGTACTTTTTATACAGTAGACACCTACCCAATCTTCATCACCCAAAAAGTTAAAACCACAAAAACCACAACAAAAATGTTAAACAAGTATGTTCCAAACAGAAGCGAGAGCTACATTACCCCAAATTTCCACATAATGCTGACACACCGTCCCTGAAGTCTTCCCAATGAAAGTTAAGAACTCTAGAGCTGGGCATAATAATTTTCTACCACTCAAAAATTAAAATCATCACTTCAAAAGAAATATATTCTCACTCTATTATCAATAATACTCTTTGCAAACTCTACTTTAATAAGGTCAAAATCGTTGAGGAAAAGGACAATATCTTCTTCTTATGTGACTAAAGATCTCAATATATAATATCTGCACAGTAAGCTAATTACTAATGGGTTGAATTTCATCACCTGTCAACCTCACCAAGGATTTCATTCTGGGGACCAACAGATAGCGTAAGGGCTACGTCACTGGACTCCCACGAAGTCGACCGTAGTTTGAGTACTGGACCTGGTGTCTTAAACTCACACCAGGCGCTTGCGTAGGCAAGATCCTGAGAGGAGAATGGAGGAGAAGGGACTGCAGTGTGGCCATCGCCCCTAGGAGGTGATTTCTCGCTTTCTGTCTCTCTGTCTCTCACTGTCTTTCTGGCAAGCACACATGCACTATAGCAAAAATCCCTTCTAAAAAACAATATAAAAAAAATAAAGGAATTCATTCTAAACTAATGGCCATTTGCCTTATTTCCTTTGTTTTGCTCCTTTTGGCTATCTTAATTTTAACTCTACAGTTCTTTCATGCTGTTCCATTTACCCAAAGTGAAATTTCCATCTCATTTTATGATCCAGAAATTTTTTTAATACACATTCCTTCTATTAAAGAGGCGATTCTCTCAAATCTTTTAATATACATTTTTTTTTTCTATTAAAGAGGTGATATTTGGGGCCAGCAGGTGGCAGGGTGGTTAAGGGTGCTGGACTCCCACAAGGCCAACTGCGGTTTGAGTCCTGGACCTGGTGGCTTGCTTTCTCACTTTCCCTCTCTCTCTCTCACTCTGTTCCTCTCTGGTCAAATTAAAATAAATAAATATGTAAAGTCAAATAAAATAATTCTTTTTTAAAAAAAGAGGTGATCTTCTCACAAACTACCACCCACCCACCTCCAGTATAAACAAAATAAATCAAATAAAATGCTGCAGTGCAATTCCAAACTTTGCCACTTCCTTTTGTGTAAATTACTGCTATGATAAATTGTAGAAAAGCTAGTATGTGTCATAGATCTTCCTCACTCTTTGTCATTTTAGAAAAATGGTATTTCTTTTGGGTATGTTCTAGGCCAAATCATTTAGAGATTCATGGTAAGTGTGACAGCTATACATGAATATCTATCAGATTCACTACTGATCCAAATTAAAAATTCCAGATCAATACACATTGGTACTTTAAAGAAAAAGAAAGAGGAAAAGAAAAAAAAAAGGTTAAAATTTTAAAGAAAAAGGGCCAGCCAGTGACATAATGATTATAGTAGCTGCATCCTACATAGTTCACTGTGGTTCAAGTCCCTGACCCAGGAGCTTAAAAACCACACCAGGCATGTGTGTATACATGCTCAAAATCTGAAAGGAAGGAGAAATAGAAGGAATTCCAGTGTGATCATCTTCCATGGGAAGTGCTTTCTCACTTCTCTCTCTGTCTCTCTCCACAAATGCACATACACTCTGGGAATTTTTTTTTTTTTAATTAAGAAGAGAAAATTCTTGTCACTTCTCATTAATGTAAATTATAGCAATATCTGCCAGGGTTATTACCTCTCTCCTAACTACAGAACTTTAAAACACTGGGGTGAGGTGGTATTTCTATTTTAGAAATTGTTGTTTGCTATAAACTGTGGTCCAGATAATAGTGCAGAAACTTCACAAGTAATTCTAATTACAATCAGGGCTGAGAACCACCACCTCTCAAGTCCCTTTCCTAAGATTTAACATGGTACATGGCAGCATAAAAACATTCAAAAGGGCCAAAGAGCCTATTAATGAAATCCAAGTTGCTTGGTCTGACATGCAAGGATCTCCAAAATGTGATCTCATGTTCCCCAGTTCAATAAAACTGGCTTTGTCATAATATCATAATCTCCTAAATATTTCATCATAATTCAAGTCCTATGCTTTTTTTTTTCCCTTTCTTTTTTGGTCATCTTCCCTTTTGGAACTTACTTCTTCTCTTCTACCATCCATTAGTCAAGGTTTAGTTCAAATTCCTGTGTCTCCACAAAGCACGCAGTGACCTATCTCTGAAGTATCTGAGACATTCCCTATCAGTAGAACTTATCTAGAATTTCAAGACATAGCTACCACCTTGTACTATTTGTCTGAGCTCATATTCCCACTCCCCAGTTACACTGGAAGCATGGGGGAGCACAAACGGTGTGACAAATGACTGCATACCTACAGTCTACTCAAGTTTACAATAAACGTTTGCTGTCATTAAAAAGGACAAAAAATTAGAAATACAAAACTAAACTTGCTCAAAATTCTTTTTTCTCTTCAATGTACATGGCTCACTTATTATCATCCAAGTATTCATAAAAACTACAGTTTAAAAAAAATCTTCTCAAACTACAATTTATTAATCAACGTACAAGCATATAGTTATTGGCAACCTTCCTAGACTTAAAATATCTAGGACTTTCAAAAAACTTTTATCCCCTTTTCCTATCTTATTATAATGACTGAAAAGGTAATTATCTTTTTCCAGATGTTTCAAATATTTTTCCAAGTTGCTGTGTCCTGATTTAGCAGGGTTTTTCTTCTTTTTAAAATCATCTCCCATTAGAGCTTCAAAACCGGAAAATGATGTTCTAATGACTGCATTCTTATAAGAGTCCATTAAAACTCCTACATCTAAC